GGCATGGAAAGCCTCAGGGAGAAAGACGAAATTAACATTCCGAAATATATTTATAGTTTATTGTGGTTTGCTTGGGTTTACAAGTGACATGCAATAAAGTAGGTCATTAATGGGAAAAACGACGTCATCAGATTCCAAGCATATAACCAGACTAGGCTACAGCCCGTTCTCATAGATATCAAAAGCTTAGCCTATCAAGAAGGGTGTGAAAATAGCAAAATTATGGTTATTATTGTATTGTACTTACCTTTGGCACCTCGGTATCTACATAAATAAGTAAAACCGTAAGTGAAATTCCGCCATGGGGCTAAAAGCTCATCGCGATAGTCACCCATGCAATTTTGAACATAAGGGTAAGCACACGATAAAAAGCTATCAAAGGTGATCTTATTTCTGAAAGCAAAATAATTCAATTAGATATGCAAAAGGGATAGAGTCATGGCGCCAACCTCCCGAGACTAGGTACAAATAGGGCACGGACCTACTCAATAGTGCGAAAGCGCTGTCGAAGCTGAATTCAGAATGTGGTAACTTTGTGGAGGCGTCATAGTTGCAGGCCACTTATAGTGCTTATGAGAGAGTTTCCCCTAGATGATTTCTGAAAACACATATTTTTGGGAACAAACGTATAAAAATCATATTTTTTAGATTTGCTGAAAATAAAGTTGGGGTACAATTTTTTCTAGCCATTGCGCCTTGCTATAGTCATATCATTAAATGTTTCGAGTACATGTACTGCATTGCAGGCCCAATTGTGTTTTCTTGTCGTTTGGAATTGAGTTGTTTTTGAATTAAATTCCATGAGCAATCAAAAATGAATAAATGGATATCGGCCTGCAGTGCCAAGGGTTAAGTGTCGTATTACTCGAATACCCTTGTTTAATCATTGCAATTATAGAATGACACTCACCTACAAATTTCATCGATAATAGTAAAATAATTAGAGGGGTTTAAAATAGACGTTCCTTGTATCTTTAGAATGATACTTGAGATCTCAGGGGTTGGGCTGCTTCGATACATCTCGTCTACGCATGTCTGGATGTTTTGATCTACATATGGACAATACTGATCAAAAATGGGATACCGCATACAAAAACATTGCTGCGCTGAAAGGAATAATAAAACACTATTTCAGAGCAGAAATATCAGACCTTTTGACAAAGTTTCAAAGAAAATAACTTAAAGTGATACTACGTTTTAGAATGAACATCAAGAATGGTCAATATGAGAAAATATATTCATCAGTTAACTTACCTGGTGTCATAAAGTTACAACAGA